CGCAGTGTGTCTAAACACTGCACCAAGGGAGCGCCCTGATGTTGCCTGCCATATTTGGGTGGGCAGCGTGAGGATGACATGGGGGGTGGAGTCAGGGCGGCCGGCATGGAGTTGCCACGCCCCGACTCCACCTCCAGGCTGGCCCTTTTGGCCAGTCTGTACTGGCCCTGAGATAGCCATATGAAGTCTGTTGCTGGCCTTTAGACTTCTAGCTGTAGATCCACTGATTTTTGTGCATGCCAGCTGGACTGTGTCTTAAAGGGTTTTTACTGTTTAAGGGCTTTCCTCAGTATTTGATACTAGCATTGTAATTGTACAACTGCAACTAATGTTGTGTAGTGTAGTATAGTGGTTTAATGCTGGATTATGACTATGGAAACCAGGGCTTGAATCCCCAGTTGGCTGTGGAAACCCACTGGGTGACCCTAGGCAAATCACACTCTCTCACCCTCAGAAAAACCCATGGTATGGTAGCCATAAGTTGGAAATGACTTTAAGGCATTTAACAAGAAGAAATATCACTAATGTAATTTGCAGTTTGTTACTAAAATTGATTTTTATGGTTTTTCTGCCCTGAAAACTATCTTGGCAGGTTTCTATCCTGAATGGCACTAAAAACATTGAACTTATATAACACACATACAAACACTACAATACAGTGGGCCCTTGGCATCCACTGGAGTTTGGTACCAAGACGTCCCATGGATACCAAAATTCATGGATGCTCAAGACTCATTATTTACAATGGCATAGTAAAATGGTGCTCCTTATATAAAATGGGAAAATCAAGGCTTGCTTATTGGAATTTATACATTTTAAAAATATTTTCAAACCATGGATGCTTGAATCTGCAGATTAAAAAAAATCCATGGATAAGCAGGGCTGACTGTAATGTAAAGCCACCCCCCCCCCCATCATTCTGAGCTATTTATAGAAGTACAGTACAGTATATTTTCAATTGAACAAATCTTGGGGGGGGGGGGGACCTTGACTCTCCAGATGTTTAACCAGCTGTAAGGAGTTGTGGTAGCTGTAGTAAACAACTTTTGGAACACCAAGGGTCCTTTGGAACATGTCCTATGGGAAATGGATCTAGTGTAGGAGTGGGAATCATGCAGCCTTGCTGTTGGATGAAACTTCCAGCAGCCCTAACCAATACAGCCAACAGTTAGGAAGGCAGGGAATAGCAGTCCAATACCATCTAGAGCAGACCTGGACAATTTGGAAGTGGGCAGGGGCCAAAATTAAAGTCGCCAAATGTCTTCGGGGTGCAGATAGGTTTTAATTATTATAATGCATCATTATTAATTACTAATTAATTATTACTATTTAATTATTAATAATACTTAATGATTAATATAAATATTAATTCCATCCTCCGCCACCTTCGTGGGAGAAGGCCAAACAGTGGAGGAGCCTTGAGAAGGGTGACAAGATGTCACAGGGCCTTTACAGACTGCCAGAAATAATGCACCTTGAGTCCACTTTAACTGCCTTGGCTCAATGCTAGGGAATCATGAGCATTGTAGTTTTTTTCTGAGACATTGAGCCTTCTCTGTCAGAGAGCTCTGGTGCCACAATAAACTACAGTTCCCATGATTCCCTAGCACTAAGACAGAGCAGTTAAAGTGGACTCAAGCATTATTTCTGGCAGTCTGTAATGACCCATAACCAGAATGGAGGGAAAGAAACCACAAAATGTAGGATATTCAAGAAAAATGTAGGAGACATTACAAGATAAAAGCTAAAAACAATAATATAAATTCACAAAATTTATAAATATAGATGCACAAAAAAACAAAACCCTGATGCCCCCCATGCCATTGTGCTCCCATCCCCTCACCCCCCCTTGGCAGCCCCCTTCTTAGAGGTGAGAATCAGCTGGAAAAGTACATCTCACTCCAGAAGATAAATATACTTGAGCAGTTTGCACTCTATGTCTTTCTAATCATAATAATAGCTACAAAACTGAATAATAGTATACTTAGGTCCAAAACACACTGCAGAAATAATCCAGTTTGAGACCACTTTAACTGTCCGGTTCAATGCTAAGGAATCCTGGAAACTGTAATTCTGAAAGACATTTTTTTCTGAGACATTGAGCCTTCTCTGTCAGAGAGTTCTGGTGCCACAGCAAACTACAGCTCCCATATTCCCTAGCACTGACCCAGGGCAGTTAAACTGGATTATTTCTGCAGTGTATTTTGGACCTTACTTTTTAAAAAATAGTCCA